GAAAAAGAAAATTCCTGATTTTTTTAATTATTTTTATTATTATTATTATTGTTTTGCAAATGGATTAGTGTCCACAGAGTCTGGATTTTACCTTCTTTAAAAATTTCTCTCTCACCATCCAAACAAGATTTGGCAGAAAAAAATCATTTCTGAATTGAAAAACGTATTGTGCCATTAAATACAGTGAGCTCTTTGAAATAATGTTTTGGCCACAGTCAGAGCTGGAGATGGACCAAGAACATTTTCTCTCTTCTCTGGGCAGTGTATATTTTAACTTTCAGTTTCACCTCAGAGAGCATCCATATTAATGTTTCCTTTGATCATAGAGAAATGAAAAYGCATTGAAAAGAACCTATTTTTGTTCACCATGAAGCTTTTTCTCTCTGTATGTGACTGTTTGCTGCCAACGTAAAGCAGCACAGAGCATCGTCTCACTGCTTCATTGTCTCTTCCTGTTAGTCAAGTTCCTGGCATTCCCATCTAAGTTAGATGAATCATCTTCTCTCTGTGGTGCGGAGGGGAGTTGCGGTGTCCCGAGTCAACTACCTTATCTGTCGAAGAATCAAGTGAACCAGACCATAAACATCACYGCAGGTAAAGAAACAGTAGATCTCAGTCCATGAACAGCACGCAGAGGTCTGGTCTGTTCATTTCTTGTTTGACAAATAAGAAGAGAATTTGCATTTCCTGCAAAAAATAAGTGTGAATGCTTATTGTTGAATAAKTTATCTGAAAGCTGCTGAAGAAGCTGAAATATGTTTGAAGGCTGAACTAGCTGAGATGGAACCCAAAATTAGAGTGGTTTCAGAAATTTGCTAAAAAAAGAAAACCCTCCCCCAAAAACAACATTCAATAGGCAGAAAATAGCAAAAAAAAAAAAAAAATGCAGAAAAAAGTAAAATGAGAATAGCCAAGGGGCAGAAAAGGCTGAAGAGTGCAGAAAGAAGGTGAAGGAAACAAAAGAAAAAGTAGCAGAAGAAAAAGAAGTTTAAATTGTTAAGAGCAAAACAGAGGCGGCACGGTGGCTCAGTTGGTAGAACTGATGCCGCTCAGCAAGAAGGTCACCGGTTCAAATCCCGGTCTGGGGACCTTTCTGGGTAGAGTTTGCATGTTCTCTCCGTGCATGTGTGGGTTCTCTCCGGGTACTCCGGCTTCCTCCCACAGACCAAAAACATGACTGTTAGGTTAATTGRTAACTCTAAATTGTCCCTAAGTGTGAGTGAGAGAGTGAATGGTTGTTTGTCTCGTTTGTCTCTATGTGTGGCGCTGTGATGGACATGCGACCTGTCCAGGGTGTACCCCGCCCCTCACACTGTGACTGCTGGATATGGGCACCAGTGACCCACGCGACCCTGAAAAGGAAGAAGTGTGTACAGAAAATGGATGGATGGAATAGCAAAATAGGTCAAAATGATAGCTAAAAAGGCAGAAAAAAAGCTCAAATCAGCAAAACAGAAACCAAAGTAAGCTGAAATGAACACAAAACAGTTTTAAAAAAAGCAGAAACAGGACAAAATGCAAAAAGTACAGCAAAGATTTGTGAAAATTTTGAAAGGTTTTAAGGAGGCTGAAGATCAGGTCTATTCGTTTTCAGTCAGGAAAATAAAATGGCAGAAAAACTTAGTATCTCCAAAAATATAAATTGATGAAAAATCAAAAGTCATAGCTGGAATGTCCTGAAGGAGCTGAAGGTTTAGATATATAAAATGTTGAAATAGAACAGAAATTGGGAGGGGGGTGGGGRTGGGGGGCTGAAATCGTACAGAGAAAAGAAAATGTCATAAGCATTCACACATTTTTTTTTAGAAATGTGTGTTGTTATATGTTTACATTTTAGAGCTAAATTACATGCATAAATTGAAAATGTAATACTGTAAGACACGTGTCAAACACAAGGCCCGCAGGCCAAATGTGGCCCGCGGGTGACTCCCGTGTGGCCCACCAGGGGAGGTACCACCCCCACCAAAATTTTTATTCTATAAACCCCACCAAAAATTTTTTTCTTTTTTTATTACTTAGCATGAAATTTGTTTCTTTTATCAATGGTAAACTTTGAATTTATGATTAAATGCAACAAAATAGATTAAATAAAAATAAATGAAATAAAAATAAATTTAATAAATTCCTGTCCCTGAGCTGTTGGCTTGAATTAACAGAGCAATTTAGTTGGATAGCACAGTATTGATGTCTGAAAATTAGCTGCTTAAAGTGACCATCAACCGTAAACTAAATAATATTTCTGTATTTATTTCAGATTTAGTCAGTCATCTTAGTTTCTTATCGTGTTTAAAAGAGGACGTGTTAAAACACTGTTTAGTCAAAGTTAAACATGAAATGTCAAAGTTTATTACAAGTGACCCTTCAAGGGCCACCGCAACGCTCATGTGGCCCTCAGTGAAAATGCGTAAGAGGTGTGTTTGYATTTTTGAATTTCATCATCTCCCATCCAGACTGCCACATTACAGTGAATGACGGGCGGCGTATCGTCGGAGGCACCGTGGCTGCAGAGGGCGTCTGGGGTTGGCAGGTCAGCCTGCAGTGGAGGGAGAGTCACATGTGTGGGGGGTCCATCATCTCGTCTCACTGGATCATCACWGCAGCTCACTGCTTCGCTGAGTAAGACTTAGACGTGTGAGGAGAACGTAAGCMGAGCAGGTCGGGGTGTCAGTAAGTGCTGTTCTGTCAATCATTTCAGCAGGTTGACAGAGAAGATGACGCAAAAGTGTTTGACACATTGGCAACCCACGGTGTGTTGTCTGCAGGGACTTGTTGTGCCCCTCGAATGTTTAATCAGTGTTCTGAGCAAACTCTGCACAAATACTGAGCTCCACTTCAAACAAAAAGCAACTTATTATACTGTGTGAAGTATAAAAAAGTCTTTGTTAATCAGAAAGTGATTATTGTTGCTCTGTGACTGAGAAAATGCTGATTGCAATTATTTTTTGTTTAATTTGAACCATAATGAACTCATTTGCAGTTATTTACTTATTAGAATATTTGTTCATATGAAAACTCATAAGACGTGTAAACACTTCAAACCTGTGAAATAAAAACATTTGTTTTCTTTCTAAATGAAGTGCTTAAAACTGTAAAACTAAAGTGCTCAAAGCAGAAAAAACATTTTATGCTATTATTTAGCATCTTTACAAAAGTGCACATAAATAAGAACAGAATCATATTGCATTATTTTACTTAAATTGAATATATATTACAYTATTCGGAGCCTGATTTAATGTAATGAAGGGGTTTTTCTTACTATTATTTATTCTCTAAAATACAGAATAAAAACCAAAAAAAGCAACAAAACAACCAGAACAGAATAATGGTGAAGTCAGAGTTTATTTATTAATCACAGTTATAAAACTATTTTTGCTGACCAATGTGTTGTACATAGAGATGATTAAAATCAGTAATATATATGCAGTAATAAAAATACAATAAAAATGATCTCAAATACAATAAAACCCCATGCAACAAAACGATTTAAAAATAAATCAAAGTTGCACAGTCAAAGTTAAGACTTCCTGTTCAAATAAAACAAGAAGCAGGTAATTTTTTTTATTTTTATAAACAGCAGACTGAGCACAAAGGTCGGCTGTTCCACAGAATGAAATGTTCTCATCTTTGGCTTTAAATCTGGATCTGGGAGTGTCCACGAAAAAGAGGATTGTAAGGTTTTTTTAGAGCTTCTGGCTGGAGCGTGACTGTGTAAAAGTTCAGAGAAAGTTCAGATAAGGTGGTGTCAYGGCATTCAGTCTCTTAAAGACGAGCAGTAAAGTTTTAATCTGGATCCTGACAAGAAGTCAGTGTAAAGGGAGCCCAGCACAGGTGTGGTGTAATCATGTGTTCCTGTCATTGTGTTGTCAAAAGATGAGCCAGTGTTTTCACCTGATATATAAAAGCTRGCTAAAAACTGCAAGTRRCAAAAGGCAGGCTAAAAGCTACTTTTAGTAGAACTGCAGCAAAATGTTAGGATAACAGAACGCTCAGTGAAACAAAAAACATGATAAAAAATAAAGAATGTAAGATGACAAAAATAGAGCCAGTAAGATAAGGCTGATTTCAAATTAAAGGTATTACAATRTAAAYACAGCACAAAAAGTAAGGAAATTTGTGTTTGGTAGATTATTTTTTGTTGTAACAATGTTTCTTGGTAATAAATCTTATACCGTTGCAAAGCCTGTTAATTTCACTTTTGAATGGCGCCACATTTGTAAGGAACATGCATTTGTGGGATGAGAAGGAGAGCTGAGTTTGTGAGCTGTGCATAAAAAAAACTGCTTATTTTGCCATTGTTATTGACACTTGTTTTGAGCTTCTGAGATTTATTGCCAAGAATATTTATTGCGACAAAAAAATAATTAGTACACACAGTAGGAATTTATATGGGGAAAATATAAGTAAATGAAGTTAATTATTTTGAAAAGTTATATAAGTTACAAAAAACAAAAGACAGCACCCGTTTCCTGACCTTTTTAATAGCCTTTGATTAAATAAAATGTAAAGAAATCAGATATCTGTTTTCTTCTAAATGATGAAAAAAGTCTAAATACAAGTTTAAAAAAAAGTTACAACTTACTGCATATTAATTTGCCCCATGTTTCACTGTATGAATGGTTAAAATGCAACAAAATTTAAAGAAGCTAAATTGCAAAAGACAAAGAAAAAGACAAAATAAAAATTAAATGATGAATCACCTACATGAGTCCACTTTTTAGTTGAACTGAAAGTGAGCTGAAACTGTTGTATTTGTGCAGGAGCAGCATGTCTGAGGAGGCTGACTGGCTGGTGGTGGTGGGCAAAGTCAACATTGCACACAGCTCCCCGGGGAAACGCTACAGAGCCCTGCAGGTTCTCTACCACCCTCTCTTCAGCACCAACACCAACGACTACGATGTGGGCCTGCTGCGCACCACCGCTGACATCGACTTGACTGGTGAGAGATGGCTCCATCTATCGACAGAGTTCAGCAAAACACATCATTTGAGTCTTCGCCCAAGGCGGGGGGCCACCAAAACAYCTGCAGCAAAGAAAACATTTCATGTGCTCAATGCTGCATCTATTACTTTAAAAATATATATTTCTCATGCAGGAATCTGAAGATGACATTCCTCAGTAAAAGTTAATAAAAACTATTTTTAAGCAATCATTTCCTTGTAGTACTGGTTGTATAGTTTATAGTTACTGTTTTAAAATGATAAAGCATCAAGAGGCTCAGCTTCAAGCGAAAAAGGGTAAAGTCTGCTGCGTGTGGATAAAAAGCAAAAAAAAAAAAAAAAATCAGAAAGAAGCGGTTTCATAACCTTCGAACAGCAGGGCCGTCTTATCGGTTTACTGCTCTGTACACACATGGGAGATTAATGTTGTGTTCTCTGTGCAGGTGGGGTCCGCCCGGTGTGTTTACCCAAAACAAACGAGTCCTTTCCTCCGGGAGCATCCTGTTGGATCACGGGATGGGGGGCTACACAGCAAGCAGGTGAATCACATTCATACAGTGATGTTTGAAGGAAATGAGCGTTCACAGCTGATCCTAAAACAGAAAAAAAAATTCAATTGAAACATTTGAATAAACTTATCAGTTAGAAAGGCGTATCACTTGCCCCCTCAAATGACAGACTTTTCAACTCTTGAAAAACTATTTTCACATTCAGTGATTTTTTTCTAAGTTTTATTAATTTCATCCAGTGGTTCATCAGTGGGTATTTTATCAACAGATCAGTGCTAAAGTTTTAAAGTCAGGTTTTGTTTTGTTTATTGTTATTTTTCTGTTCCTGCAGCTGCTGTGACAGACCAGCTTCATCAGGCCCAGGTGACGGTCATAGCTCGGTCCACCTGCTCCAGCCTGAGCGTCTACGGGGACTCCATCACTCCTCGGATGATTTGTGCTGGCGTCATGGCCGGGGGGGTCGACTCCTGCCAGGTACACAACCTAGTGACAGTCTTTCAAAAATTTATTTTTAACGTTATAATCTACAGTCTGCTCAAACTTTTAATATTGACTCATTCTGTCCTGTGATGATTGGCTGTCCTATAGGGGGACAGCGGTGGACCCCTGGTGTGTGAGACATCCAACGGGGACTGGAGGCTGGCAGGGGTAGTGAGCTGGGGGGAGGGCTGTGCACAGCCCAGTAAACCAGGCGTCTACAGCAGAGTGACTGAACTGCTCTCATGGGTTGAACAATACACAAAGGTAACGAATCACTGTCTTATTGATGCTTTTATATTTTTCTCTCTTTGCCTTTCTTCAGTTGCAGTTAAGACTGTGGCTGAACAGTTTATTGAAAAGGAMTTCAAGTGTGCAGCATCAATAATGCAAAGTAAAGTCTTTGCAGATTTATTTTTGACTTTGCAGATAAATTGAAGAATCAGTTTGAATGCAGATACTGTATTATCCCCACTAGCCAAACCTCACTCAGCTAATTTAGCAGAAATGCTAAAGCTAAATGCTAACACTAAAGAGTGATGGGAGCATCGTGCTGAGAAAAAGAGAGAAATTTAACAAATCTGGGTTCATTGCAACTGATATCAACATTGTGATTGCAATTTTTAAATAAAATATGTTTATATGTTTATATTTTATGTCCTTTATGACCAGAGGTCTAAAACAGAAGTTCTCAAACTGGGGTCCCAGGACCCCGAGGGGTCCATGAGTCATATCTTGGGGGTCCTCAAACATTTTCAATCAATTGTTCATTTGATTTTTATTTTTTTTAAATGCACATGGAGAACAGTACACTAATAAAACAAACAACCAAAAGATAATATTCCCATGGCATTTAGGATATAAAAATGACAGTAAACTATGGGTTTATAAGAGGGTCTATGGACATTTTTCACCTTGGTAAGGGACCCAAAACATTTGAGAACCCCTGGTCTATAAAGTACTGGAGAAGAATGACTAAGTAAAATTAAAATTACATGAACAGAAAATGACATTGGTAAATATAAATTTTATTGATGAGAAAACTCCTCAAGTAAAAGTCGTAAAACTGTTTATAAAAATCGGGAAAGAAAAAGTAAAAGTACTTTTACACTTTCCAAGAAATAAACTGTTGAATTTACTGAACCAAACTGGTTCCTCTGAGACAGGTTGAGTAAATTGAGCAATATATGTATATTTTTTGCTCAATTTACTCAATTA